ACGAACGGTGGCAGTTGGTCCAGAATTCTGTAACCGCTGACTTGAACTGTTGGAGAAGCTACGCTAGGCGCCTGCGAACACTGTAGTATTGCCAATTTTATTCGTTTCAACTCGAGGGGCTCCTGTCTTTCGGCCTCCTCGCGGCCTTCTCGCCTTTCAGCTTCTTCACGTTCGCGAGCTTCTCGCCTTTCAGGTTCTTCACGTTCACGAGCTTCTCGCCTTTCAGCTTCTTCACGTTCGCGAGCTTCTCGCCTTTCAGCTTCTTCACGTTCGCGAGCTTCTCGCCTGTCAGCCTCCTCGCGGCGTGCTTTGATATCCACCCAGGCCTCATCGACTTCCTCAGCTGACACTCCCTCATCCTTCATGATCTCAAGGATCGCTTGCTTTCGTTTCGCACGGCCCAAAGTAATGCCGTGTTCCTCACAAATTTCGATGAGTTCCTTCACTTTAAGGTTCTCCATCGTTCACACTAGCCTCTTGCTGTTTGCCCCTGTTAACAATTTACTTGCCGTACCACTATAAGTCAACTAGCAAGACGCGCAAGCAATTTTTTCACACTCCCGTGTTCACCCCCTCCGCATTAACTTCGGTTTCAAAGCACTTCGACTTTGCTTGAAACGATCAAAGCTCACCTAAATGCTTCACACAGCCCTTCTCTAAACTACTACAACCTGAGCTAGAGTAGTCTGGTGAACTGAGGGCAGAACATCAGGCACTCACCGCATCGATGCCGCGGACGCCGGCCGATCCCGCAGCTGCCAACCACTGTTGCGACGCGCATCGATGTCGCTGACGCCGGCCGATCCCGCAGCTGCCAACCACTGTTGCGACGCCGGCCAATCCCGCCGCTGCCACCACTGTTGCGACGCGCGCCTCCGACGACGTTACGAAGGGCGCTACGAATCTCACCGCTGCAACCACTGTTTCGAAAGACGGCGACGCCAACACGGTCCCGAAGGCTCCACTGCTTCGAACTCCGCCGGAAAGGTCACCTGCCGTTTGGTAGCGTAGGTTTCTCAGCTCGCGACTGCTTCTGCGCAGAGATGATAGACGTGCGGACGAGACGACGGTGAGTTAAACAAGGTTTATGTACAGCATATATACAGAGGCGTTACAAATTCGGCACTGGGGCCGACAGAGACTCGAAGAGCCGAGCTCTCCTCTCTAACACATAGGTCTGCTGTCGAAGGGGTCCGCTGTCAAAGCGGTCTCTCTCGACGCGCCGCAGGGCTTCTTTTATATGCACCGGGTCCAACCCATATGTCCAACCAGAAGCGCCGTTGGTCGCGAGGTCAGAATGCTCCAATGAGGTCGCCGCTGGGCCGCGTCCTTCTTTCTCATCAAATCTGGAGAGGCTGCGCTGCAGGTGGCTGCACCAAAGGACGAGTGACGTCGCCAATCATTGCGTCAGCCGCCAGACAGGAAGACGCCGGTTGTTTATTCGATGGGCTCGCGGCTGAGATGACTCACTGCACGTGCGCGCCAGAAAGGCACCGTGGCGTGGTGACGCCGTTGAGTTGTTGATCGCGTCAGGCGGCTCGCGGCTGGCCTTGACACAGATTGCCTTTTTCAGAGGCACGGATGTTCGCTGTGGACTCGCAGGCATAACAGTAGCAACCCTTTCTGGTCAGATAGTGCTCTAAGTGCGTCCTTCTGATACTAGTTTTTTCTTTATAGTAACGATTGATTTTAAGGCAAACTTTATTGGAGATTAAGTCACCAATGTATGTCTCCGTAAGTTTCTGCAAGTTATATCACCAGACACAACTATCTTTTTATTTATGACTAACGTGCGCGGGTTTCCTCCTCAATGGAAAAGGATGCGCGCGTGCCACTCCTCTAGTCCGGCCATGGAGGTGGCTACCTACTACTACTACTACTAAATACATCGTGGACGCACAACCCACAGCATAGGAAGCTTCGCCCATAAAACTAGCAGTCATTCTGTGTGCGAATACAGCTGATGACTGAAGCTCCTAAGAAATGAGACGCAAATGGCTATGACTATGCACCTGATCTCGCTGCTTGCTTTCATGAAAGCGGCAGGGTGGTGAGACACCAGGCCCCCACCCTGCCTTCAGACTTCAGAAGTCTGTTGCCCTCGGTGGCGGAAATGACTGAGGGAGTGAGTGCGCGAAGCGTTCAGCAAAGTGCAAGCCTGTCCACTGCGCCCAGACTAATGGGCGCAGTGTAACCCTAAAAATGGCACTGCGTTGAATACGACAGGGCGCAGTGATGGTTCGCGCGTTTGCCGGTTTGAGGGGAGAGGGCAAAGACGAAGAAAGAGGGAGACAGGTGCGTTACATATGAATAATGGCACGTATGACGCCATTGGTCTGGGCGCTAGCTGGATGCTATTGGTGATAAGGTCGGTGCGGCCACTATGCTGACTGCCTGCGCGCCTGCCGACGTGTCTATGATATAACGCCCTGGCCAAGACTATAAAAAGCCTGCAGTTATCTGTATCGATTGTCTTATGTGTCGATCTTTGTCGAATGAAACAGTAAGCCACTGCTATCCAGTTAGCCTGGTGTCCGTGTTCCCCGGTCAAGTTTGCACAAGGTGGGAGAGAGGTACGAGCGGTGATGTGGCGGGGAGCTTCGACGGCGGCGACCACGGGGTGCGCGGCCTAACAAGCTTCGCTCCTAAATGTAGCAACCGTGGTCTTAGCCAGGGAAGCAACAGCGAAAAGTGTCGGAAATTTAATGCCTCCTCTAATGGAAGTGGTGCTGATTAGACACAGATCTACGGAAGAGGGAATTGAATGAGTAACGCCAGCGGCAAGATTTAAGGCTGTACAAAAGAATGTAGAAAATCTCAAAAAAAGAAGAAAAGAAAGTAGAGGACTACAGAGAACAAGAAAAAAGAGCAGATAAACCCAGCATAGACACAGGAGAGACATATACAAAGCAATGCTCCGCAATTCACAGAGCCTTCATATTGGGTGGAAGTGGTTAAAATTTTTGGTTAACCATTTTGCTCTTCGTACTGTACAATAGCGCATTGCGGCATTGGGTATGGTATATCCAAGTAGATTGCAGTTCGAAGTGATAACTAACGTTTCGCCCATAGGATATACCTTTGAAAACAGAAAACCCCGAGGGAAAGGCTAAAAGAAGTAATGGCATGGAGGTCAACCAAAGACACGCATATAGGTTTCACGCGACAGCGGGAAACAGGAGACGGAAGAACAACAGCAATTACAGTGAAGACAAAAGAAAGGAGACTTCATCTTAAAGTGCATATTGACAGTGCACTCAGTTTCTAATCTATGGTTGTGAGATCAGGTTTTAGAATTGACGCGTGTGGAGGGCAACAGCCCAGTGGCCGACGGGGATGAATAGAGACACGCAATTGAAACAAACTCGCCCGGAGCAATTCCTGGCCAATTCAGCAGCCATGTGGGCGGAAGTTGCTAGATTATTAGAAGAATTTGCCAGTTTATTGTATTATACAAAAGACAAGCCTTTGGCGTTGACTAGCTCGTCTAACTCTTACTTCTCCTGCTGCTACTTGTTTATGGTTGCATGATGAACGAAATGCGTAGGATGAAATTGCCTCGCAGTTGTCACAGGAAGCATCTGTAATGACATATGTTTTAGCTATGGTGACTTGTAGCAAAGCATCTCTTGATGGGTACGGAAGGTTTTACCAGAAACCCTATAACGAGTCGTCACGTAGCATCTTTTTGAAAACTTTGCAATCATAGAACCCCATCGTGAGATAGGGAACTAAACAGGACACACAAGAAGGGAGAGACGAGATCATGCGCAGAATAGACGCTCATAAACATGAAAAAAGGTTTGGCACTCCTAAACATAAAAAACAGACAGAAAACATCTGTAGAAACTTGTGACGCCCCATACACGACATCTTCCTATGATTTAGGTGCAATATACGGCAGTAAATGATCGGTATTTCGAACTCAAAGGCGACTGCAGAATTGTTACAAAAAAGTGGAGTTTCAACTAGTGGGCGGGGGCCAAAATAAATGAAACTTTTACCACACTGCGTAAGTACACTCCAAAGAATACCCCTCAAGACCCGTTGTCGCGAATAAGCGCTGCTACCCATTGGTGGCAGGTTATTTGAAAATTAAATTCTTGGAGCTCGAACAGCGAAAAGAATTGATCAATCAGTGATACATTAAAAACAAGTACTCATATGCATTCATGCGAGCAGTGAGCCTGAATCTCAAAATATGTGACGCTCTTTGTACTCGAAAACACGTTTATTTACATGCTAGAGTTAATTAGATGAAAATGATAAGAAATGAGTCATTTGGATTTGTTTGCGTCTTTTTCGTCGCAGCTCCATGAGCATCGTTTGGAGCTTACTCAAGATCTCCAGGGCAGCGTCTAAATTCTTATTTGCGTATAAGAGCTGCTGTTTTGCTGTTTTGCACCTGTAGTAAATCTGGTTTGGTTTCGCTGAACATTGTTATTACTCTGGGCTGACTCATGCCTGGAACGGTGAAAGCCAGGGGGCTCCCAGATTCAATTAGCCATTGCGGATATCGACGCGTTAGAATTGTTGGGAGTTTTCCCCCATGGAAATACACAAGGCTGCTGGTACCAGGGCGTCAGTTTCAATTAAATGTAAGTTCGCATTAATATAGTGCGAGTTGCCCAGCTTTTACTGTAAAAACAAAATCTGAACTTTAAGAAAAAAGACCCATTGGAAATATAACCATCGGTTTCTAATCATTTGTGGTCACAACGAAAGCCACGCAGCTGCAGGAATAATTGCACGAATAACCCTATAAAAACAGCGTTTTAAAACAATTTTTTTCGATACGATCCGCCTGTGAAATTCTTGCTGTTTCCTTTGTCCAAGTTATTTTTTTTTTCGCTGACCTCGTAATCATCGCCAAAACAGACCTCACTCACCAGGGCCACTGTGAAGCTACGGGGTAGGTTTCAGCATTAAAGCCAATTCATAAAAAGCACCCCGCTCAACGCTTCCTATTTCGCCTGTACAGGGAAAGCATACCACCATACCTCCAGGGCATCCCACTTGCAGTTCGGGTGGCTTTCCAGCTCGAAGCGTTCGAAGATGAGGCGCAGCCGTTCGCCTGGTGACGCCCGTATCTCCCACTCGCAGAGCAGCCCATTCTCATAGGGGTTCGGGTGGCCCGGCGACGTGAAGCGACCTTTGTCAAGCGACATGACACCGCCGCAACCAGGGATCGCTGCACACAGGAACCGTGCCCTAGATGTCACTGCTTCCGACCAACCTCTTGCGAAATGTGAATCGGACCAACCATTCGCTTGCCTGGCATGAGCATTACCATCAAGAGAAAAATAGTTTTCGGCAAAAAGATGACAAAGCTGCTCATTAATAATGCCAGATATAGTGGACGAACACATTCGGAAGGCGCAAACAGCAACGTCTGGTGAAAATTTTTGAAGCATTTTTTATTTTCAAGCAGCAAGCTAATTCATTACTCCGACAAAAGTAACATTCCGTGCCTGGTGCAGACAGTCGTTGTTCTACAAATGTCTGCTTGACTGAGTTATGATCATTTGCAATGTATATAATTTTTAAGTGTTTTATGCCGGTATCCACCAAGACTTCAATGACGCATTTCTGAGAGGAAAGGATATCGTAAAACTGCAAATGAACAAATAGCCGAAGGAAAAAGTGCCGTCCTCAAGAATAGAGCCAATGACCTCTATGTCCGCCCCCACAGACGGTGGGCATGTTGTGGACTGCGCCATAGTATGTTATCGCAATAGCGTTAAAGAGCTCCTTTTGCGGGAATCCCTGTGTCGGTGTCGCCGTCGTTGGCTTGGGGCGAAAAATCATTTTATTGTGCATGATTAAACAATCAAGAAAGATGCAAATTAACATACCCTAAAAAGTTTTGGGTCTGAGTGGGAATAGAACCCGGGTCTTTTAAGTGGCAAGCGGGTTGTTTACTACACAACCACGCGTATTTTCGTGAATTCATTGAAGATAACTCCCTTTGTTTGGAAATTCAGGAAAAGTATTATTCATGCTTTACAAACACGCGTGGCCTATATACATGCTTCACAATAAAATATGAAATATCGTAATAATATTACGTGGTACATTGCAAGCGTACATTGTCACCGGACGTCAGAGCAAGAAATTATCACAAGGACTTCATGGTTTAAAGCCAGTCAACCACTACACAAAGCACAAATGTTACTGGCCTAATACCGTAAGGCCACGTAATGGGTGCATAGCAAGTTCGGAAATATTTCTTGCACTAAGTATTTGAAGTACGCACTAGGAACAGGATATTGCTATCACGTTGAACTCCTAAAGGTGAAGCTTAAATGTTCCACATTTTTTTCTTTCTGTTATTTCTTTCAGGCATTTGACAAGCTACGTGCACCTACAAACCCTAAAGTGACAGTGAACAAGCATGATGGATGTTATGCATGCTTTAAGCTTGCGACACAAAAAAGTGAAAAAAAAAACAACAGAAACAAAATAGACCATAATGGTAAAGCAATGAAGTGTTGGTCACGCTGGAGAGACGGTTCAATCAAAACTATTTTAAGATAGCCAAAGGTCCGACCCTGTGAAAGCACTCAGGCTCAGATTCTCCTGCGTTGAGTTCCTGAATATCAATATTCCGCGAAGCGCACTGCCGAAAAGCTAGCACAGCTAGGACGCAGCAGTCATCCGCTTTTCTTTAGAGCCATAAGCAATAGAGGCCCATAAGCATTATTAAATCGTAGGGTAAATCATCATTCCTATTGTCTGACAAAGGTCAAATGCCACGTAAATCGATTGGTGATCCTTTTTTCAATATTTTTCGGAAGACGTCCAATACAAACTGTGAATAAAAACCAGCCGACGAAGAGCAAGAGGACACAGAAATATGCAGAAGGCACGTTTGTAAAATTTTTTTTTGTGTGACAGTGGCCCAGCAGATTGCAGCCATAATAAAAAGGGGTGCATCTGGACATATATAGGCTCCCGCACATCGGCTATTTATTATTGAAAGCTATCGCAAACCATGGTGCTTTTTTGTGTTTTTAATCGTATTCCGATACAGTCCAGTTAAAACGGGTAAGTTCCAGCCTGCCTGCTTCAAAATAATTTATGAGGACATATACAGTTTTGTCTAAATGTAATATATACCAAGAAACACAGAATCGTCTTCATAATTTCACTACATGCCACTTCACACCTACTTCGCAAAACAATAATTACGTCAAAAATGCAAAACTCCCGGGATAGGCTGTGCAGTTCCGCTGGCGGTTATTTGTCTGACGATTTGCCACTCCAGCTGCCTGTATTTACCAGAAGTATAAGTGCATACTTGCTTTGTGCAGCTGCAATGTAGGAATTCACTCATGCTCGGTGTATATTACTCATGAACAAAAAAATGGGCAGCGCTTTCAAGGCTTGTATCGCTGAGAAGCTTTTCAGCTTTTACTGGGCAGAAATGAAGCGCCATCTGTCCCTATATTTTCCCTTATTGGTATCAGTATATCCTTCTGAAAAATGTAACGGTTTGCCATATCTTAAAGCGGGATTTGTCTGACCAGAATGTTTCTTTCATGACGTGTTCGTGCAAATTTATGGATTTCATACGGACGGCCCCTTCATGCAATGCCAGAATTTGGAGACACTCACATGGTACGGCCGCATAGGTGGCGTAAAAACCAGAGTCGGTGCTGGACTCATCTGAATGGAATCGGATGAGCATGTTGTGTCCAGAGCTGAGGATGGGGCGCTCGCCGGCTGAATTGTTTGTGCCACAGAAGACAGCCAGCTGGCGGTCTTGCTCTGTGGCACCGTCGTAGATCTGCAACGTAGCCACACAACCTCCTACATTTTAGTTCCGGTAATCTGCAGTCTCATATCTTAATTGCGCTATTGAAAACGACGTAAGAAACCCGCTTTTGGCAATATGCAAGTGACAAATACGATAAGTTATGCGATAAGACTGGAGCTGTCTCGATTTACTTCGTATGCCTTGATTTCGTTCGCACCACTGATTTTTGTTTTATGTGAATGATACGCCCTCACCGACAACAAAGAAACTTTAAAACATGTTTCAACAGAACATTCCAACTTAAGTGAGTACACTGTCGTCTAAGGTACTTCACGTTTTATATATGTAATCATGTCTCCATCGAAGCTCACACAACCGTGATCGTCCGCTGTCACGTGAACAAGCAAGTCTTCCTTAGGGCGTATCTCAGCAGCATTAAACTTTAAAACGGACCGTTTTAGCAGTGGAGCCTGTTTAAGCCTGCCGTCAAAAATGCACCATTCGCGTAAAGTCAGCTGCACCATAACCATTACAACTAGAGACGCCTTAGTTGCCAAAACACCTGGCATAGCCTGAAGACGTCGTACAAAGTGGCGCAGCGTAATAGCGTCGGCCTTGCAGCTACTACCGCTAAGTCATGCCCAGCGATGGAGATACCTCACGGAAACAAGTTCCGCCGGGCCACTACCGCTCGCTAGGATATATTCATGCGATGCGCAAAGGACGTACGTACTCCCGTAGAAAAAGCAGTGCATCGGGGAGAGAGGCTTGTCTCTGTAGGAGAGCGGCCGCGACGAGCATATCCTAAGTACGCGGTCGGAGAAAGGGCGAACAAGAAATGCCTTCAAATCAGCCAGCGTCACTACGTTTCCAGCATTGCGCGGCCGACTGCAAGCTTTCACCTTTAAAACAATCTTGCATAAGTAGTGATTTCGCTACTACAGTAAAAGAGTACCTTCAAGTAGTCGTAGGAGCAGTTAGGGTGGTGTTCCATCTGGACGGTGGCGATGTGCAGTTGGATCCTCTTTCCTGGCGGCACAGCCAGTGTCCACAGGCAGTTCCGGTTCGAAGGGTAGTGATCGGGGTACCCCGGAGAACTCACCGAACCCATGTTCGCCACCGGCATCACTTTGCCGCACTCTGCGAATGAACAGTTTGAAAAACACGCACAGAAAACAAGCAGGATAATCCCAGGTAAATGGTGCTGTGCGGGAAAATAGTTTAGCGGTACAATTGCATAGGCGGTGAGTTTACTGAATGAGCGTGGGCCTTAAATTATATACCACCGTGGCGGTGCACCGTTCATCCCACGGGTAGTATCCATAACTGTAAATAAGGGTAAGATTTAGTTATTGGAGAAAACAGAGATGTACTCTTGGTGACCTTCCGTGGTGGGTGATTATGATAACAGCTGACTAGAAGAAAGCTGCACTGAATACACTTCAAGGCTCCGAAGACAGTCTAATGGTCACTTCAGGTGATCAGAATTGACCACGCCTCTACTATGTGAGTCTCCTCATACCACAGGTATAGCTGGAGCTCGTACGATAAACTATTCTCACAGCCTTAATCATGACGACATTTGCCGTTTGACACACGAGCACATTTAGGAGTGAGAAATCGGTTTACTCAAGAATTCGCTCTGAACGGGCTCATTAACACATATATGACTGTACCAAAGGGCAAAGGTCAAAGCTTATTAATAGAAAAACAATAAATAATACATAATTTGTCGCCACGGTAATGCTACATTTGAAGTAGCTGCACCGCGCGTTCAGAGTTGTTTGGAAAATAACGTAGAGTAACATTTATTTTTATGCATACCATGGTGTTAATGTTTCTCAAAACCAGTGAAAAAAATTAGATAAATTCAAACATTAGAAATCATTCCTATAAATGCTTCGAAGAGGTTATATTCAGGTGTACCGGATGTGTTTTCGCTAGAAACAAAATTCAAATAATGAATAGGTAGCAAGTGCTTCTGCGTCTCTGCAGTTATCCAACCGAAAGGATGCAAATAATCGAAATATAGTTTATTTTTCATCAATAAAATTGGTAAAAGACCGCTGCAGATAAAAGCTGCTCTCCAAAACAGACAGGTTGACAAGGACCCGCAGCCATCTTTGAACACAACAGCTGTGACTGGAATTGATTGTAATTTCCATTACTTGTATTTCTACAATAACAACTTGGTTAGTTGATTGATTGCTGATAAAGCAAAAGACATTTCATTCAGTCAAAATATCAGCAGTCATGCAGCTGGGCCTGGCAGAACGAAAGCATCAGCGATGCACATATTCACAATCCGAAAGAAATCTACAGTAAATTCACAGCTACCATAGTCCTCGAAATGAAAGTGGCGAGATTCTAATAAAGAAGGTGCAAGGCAGGGAGGCGCAATCTCTCCAATGCTATTCATGGTGTGCTTGCAGGTTTTCAGTGCCCTAGATAGGGAAGAATTAGGACTAAATTAGGGCAACGAATTATAGGTAAGTAACCTTAGTAACCTGGTATTCGTTGATGACATTGCAGTGATGAATAAAAATTCGTAAACAGGGTTTGTTTCGAGCCAACGTTTCGACAAGTCGACTTGTCTTCCTTAAGACATGATTATTTGCGACGTTTTATTGCGCAAGGGCCATTTGATAGCTAAAGAGCACCAGGTCACAGGACAGGAGATGGCAACAATGAATATGTTGAGTGGCTGTATAAGGGCCTTGAAATTCCTCGTGCCAAGGCGGGTAAAACATAAAAGTGATAAAATCATGACAGTGACGTGAAATGTTTAGTGAGAATGGGTGGTGAAATGTTTTGTTAATGAAAGCGTGATGGAGATAATTGGCACTAGCACAAGTGCCTCATCAGCGCTTGTGTCCAAGGGCCGCGAGCCACCGCAGCAGCAACCTCTCTTGAGAAGCTGCGCTACGCGATGCCTGGGTAAATACATGAAAAGTGCGGACATCTCCTAATAAAGCCAACACAGATTTATCAGTGAAGAGTGCTTCCCTACTGACGAGCATCGCAGCAAGTTAGAGAAGGTTCAGAAAACCGTGTAACAGGCCAGTCACCTAATAAAAAGGGTGACAAGCAAAAGCCACGGACTGAAAGAAGAAGACTGCACGATAATGATCCAGGTGTTAGTCAAAAGCATTATCACGTGCGAGACCCCATATGCAGATATGAAGAATAGCCAGAGGATTAAACTTAGATTTATCAGAAACATCTACAAGATGGACATGGGCCTGTCCTCTTCCACATTCACGGAAAACTTGCTTAAAATCTGAGTGCACATAACATGCGAAGAGCTCACGAAAGCACACCATGTCAACCAGCTGGAGAGACTGCAGCTGACGAATACGGGTTGAGCCCTGCTCCAAGATTTGGGTTACCGCATCGAGGATGACATGCACGTCCCTCAGCGTATTCAATACAAGATGAAAAATAACTTACAAGCAGTATCCCAAGGAACATGCATCCCGAATATGACAAAGGAAGACAAGCCAGGATAAAACTGTCGAGCAGACTTTAGAACGCACCAACAGCAATGAAGAAAATGTGAGATACACGGACGCAGCCGCTTACCTTACAAATGACCGTTTTGCTATAAGCTCGGTCGACCAAAGTGGCAAAGAATCAAGAGCAGCATCCATATGTGCCAAGGACGCGAGTACAGCGGAAGAGCTAGGCATAGCCCTGGTCATCACTACATGCAAGAATACGTGGGCTACCATGATAACAGAATCGCAAGAAGCCTGTAGAAGATGGATGAACGGAAAGATCAGAAATGCAGCACTACATGTCTTAAAAACACCAAGGTGAACGAAATAACCATCCTTTGGACCCCGGGAAATGAGTTTCTCGCGCAAAACCTGGTGGCGCACGCCGTGGCTCGAGATAATTCACACAAAGCCGTCTCCGACACGCTGAGACCACGTACCGACAGCTGTCACGACGAGCATGAGAGCATACCGAAGAAGTACGCAGACATTTTGGCACACTACGGGAAGCGGCGAAAGTGGTACCCGCCAGCACAAAAGAGTCTGAGTAGAGAACAAGCGTTGACATGGAGAAGACCACAAGCTGGAACTAACCCGCACGGAACATTGATGCACGCTATGTATCCAGGAAAGTTCAGGTGGGACTGCAAGTTTTGCCCTCCAGACACGCGCAACACTCTGCGCCACATGGTGCTCGAGTGTCGCAACAATCCGAACATACCACCGTCGTCCCCGCCAAGTGCAAACGCAAACGAAGAGAAAGGAACGGATAAATAGGAAGCATTCGAAGACCAGTGGGAGGCTTTGCTGGTGACGCAGGACCCTGACAACCCGCTACAATTGGTGAAACAGGCTCGAGTGGCGGCAGCGTACCATGGCTACCTGGGCTGAGGAGGCCACCCACCTTAGGGCTGAAGTACAAAGAGGCTGGTACAAATAGAGTTCATTTCATTCATTCTATTCTCTATTCATTGTTATTATTTTGGAGACGATAAATGCATGTACACGAAAATTGCCCCCACAGGCTATCGCCACGAAATGAGTCATTACCCGTTTAAGAGGCAATCAGCGAAGTGGTTCAGGGAACAAACCGGCGCTAAGGATATCATAGTCGAAGTAAAGAAAAAATGTACATGAAAAGGGCACGTAGAGCGTAGAAAAGGCAACCGCAGGTCATTAAGTGTAAATCTTTAGATTCCAAGAGAAGGTGAACGTCTGAGATGGAGACAGAAACTTAGGTGAGCAGATGAGATTAACAAGCTTGCGGGTATAACGTGGAAGCAGGAAGTACAAGACCGGTTGATTCGCGGAACGTGGGTGAGGTTTTTGCCCTTCAGTGGGCGTGCTGAGATGGATGGTGAGAATGGTGGTGAAAGGCAGGAACTACGCACCAGGCTCAACACTCGTCCACTCGATCACGAACCCATCGGCGCCAACAGAACTGTCCGAGTGGAAGTGCAAGTAGATCGCCGACTGGCTCGATACAATGCTACTGCCACTCAGCTGTGTGCCGCAGTAGCGCCCAATGGTGCGGCGGGATGACGTGGGGCCGTCGTGGATCTCCAGGTAGTCGAATGCACACTCGTGACCCTCCTCCAGGTTGAATGAGGTGAAGGTCAGATTCAGCACCTGCCAAGGGTAACGTTGTGGTTAGGAATCAGGCTGGGCGTAATAGACCGGGAAAAATGTGACAGTTATAGAGCATAACTTTAATTGTTTTGGAACAAAACATAGAAGCGCAATAAAATTCACTCACCAAGAAGAAACACGCATAAAGAACTTGAGGTTTTGTATTTTCGTCGCAGTTTCCTGTTTCTTTATATTCGTACCTTGCACTTAGGAGGTAGGTGAGACCGACAAGAATCGCGCATATGGGCTTTGTAAGTCACCATCAGCCCGACTATGTCACCTGTGTCAATGATAATGCTGGGACAATTATAAGAGGCCCTCACTTTGTCGCCATGCCGGAGCTAACACTGCGGGCAAGCGAATAAGAGCATTGACATGTGTGAGCTGATTTTTACGTCAAAAGCTTCCCACGTATTATCATAACTGCCTAACTTGCCAACTTAGACGGCTTAGCAGCAGTGCCCATAATTTGTGTGCATTACTTTTGCCCCCGTTGGATTTTAGGCCTAATAATGGAAGCCTGTTTTCAAAAACGCTGGCATCACGCCCACCTAAAAAGGATCCTTACTTCAACATGATGATCTCGAATTTCGCGTTTTTTTTTAAAGACGATAGCCTTTCTTCGGCTAGTAGTAGCAAACAACTTTATTAAGGCAGCTGACAGCTTCCTAGGTGGACGCAAACATTTCGGTCTCTCTATCAGTCAGTCGAATTTTTTTGTGTATCGCTCAAAATGGCTAAAATCCAACCACATCCGCACGTCCTCTATTATTGTTCTGATTTGAGCGTTCATACTTGCGCGTATTTTCTATTAAAATTAAATATTGCACCTATCTGAGGCCCGAACTCAACACGTCGATACCTGTGGAGTGTTTTGTTAGACTATGAAAGACATACACAAGTAATTTTGAAAATCATAGCGCTTATTACGCTGCGCTGACAATGCAGTGCTATGCACAAATAGGCGGGTGTTTCCTGCGCATTGCCGAGATGATACGGTGGTGGCACCTACCCGTCGCCTTGCATTCTACAAATTATGACCTCTAAAATGGCGCACACACGCTGCGCACTTGCTATATCAAAGGGAAACCTTTTCTTTTTTTTTTAAAGTACAGCCAGATAGTGCTCATGTCTCACGCAGCACCTCCAGAATTCCATTCACCACTTTTGTCACGCAAAACATCAAATAAACGTTTTATTCACTCTCTCCGGACGCAACAGTATCATCTTTCGACGAAATTTGCAGTGAAACATGTAAATACAGGGCCATTTTTTTTCTTTTGGGACCTGCAGGTAGGTATGGGACGGCTGAGTAGTTTTGCGTGTGACAATAAAATTTTCGTCCTGGAAAACAGAAATAACGGCTAAATGAATCGGCGTCACTTTGACAGAGACGCCTTGCCATGGTTCTTCGTCATGTTGCAATTCTCGTTCATAACTTCGGCTAATAACGCAAGCAGCAACGACGAGACCTACTCGCATCGCATCGGTTTGTGCGCGAATGATTTTATGGGCGGTGAGCACCAGAGTGAATGCATTTATAACATTTAGCCCAGCACCAACACCATCTTTAGAGTACGCCCCCTTTCCATGTGTAGCAAACAAGACGCTCACCAGATGGACTTTTTCTGCCGTTTTAGATGCAAAGCAACCTATGCTCGAAGCTGTGTTCATCCTTAGGAGACCGTCCGCTCCACCACTGTGCAAGCGCATATCCTCCCCCTCTTCTCGCATGAGTTTGAGGAAACCGGAAGAGTCGGAAAGAGGATGCGGCAGAGCGCTGCCTCCGCTTCGTTTCTCCTCTCCCATTTATAGTCCCGCCACAGCTGTGCGCTCGTATCCAATGCTGGGCACGCTCCTTCCGTTTTACTCTCTTAGCAGCGCTGGGCGGCACTCACGCGGTTATACGCAAAAACCAGAGGGGGTAAAATAAGCGGTACACAGCATATACACAACACCACACCAAAGTGAAACATACACGGAAACAAACAAAATGAAACAACCAATAAAAATGCAAAGAAACATCAGCGCTAATTTGCATCCTGACATAGTTTCGTTTAGTGGGAGTAGGGGCAATCCTTTTTACAGCGCAAGCTTTTATAAAATCACAACTTATGTGACGCGCCACCATTGTACACCACCGCAGCCGCCGCCGCCGCCGCCGGTGTCCGTAACCACATCGCACAAAATTAGACGAAAAAAAAAACCTAGTGCCAATAAGACTTTAAGGATTGAGACCAGGTTTGCTGGGCGTGAGCCCAGTAATTCACTACTGAGCCACACTGGTGCTTTGGGCTTGTTCGCAAACTTGCCTTAGGCAGGCTTGATGTCTGGGAAGCATTCGCGTTAATACGACTTATAAGGCGTTTTAAAACAGCGAAAGAGCAACCAGGTGTCGCACAATGCGAATAACGTAACGACTGGGTCGTCCAATGCTACAACCCATTACAAAAGCTTGTTCTTATTCACCTATGAACTGTGGCGTATATCCACTTCAGGCATAATTCCTCATCGTCATCAGCCACTGCATGAACAATTGGCACAACCTTCCTCGCAAGCGTTCAGCGTAAACCACACTTCTCAGAAGAATGACAAAAATAGCATAGCGAATGCCGGCCTACTAGCAAAAAATATTAATAATGCCGTAGTTGGTATCAAGCAAGTGTGCTTGCAGTAGTTACCCAATGTGTGTTCAGAAGAGGCTCTGAACGGCCACTCTTCTAGCTTTCGCTGTGACCGCGCTGCGTCTACCGCGCAGGCCTGGCTTCTTTGTTTTTGCACGAAAATGGTTTTTATGTTGGGGTCCAGCAAGACTTTAGTGACGTATTTTTGTCGGGGAAATTACGTTGAATAAATACACATGATCAGATCGCAAAGAAAAAAATTTCCACCAGCGGTAGTCAAGCCTATGACTTCTGGATCCGTGACAACATACACCGCGCACACCATCCATTGCGCCATGATCACGCAATTTTTTAGGATTTAAAAAAGTCACAGTTTGCTGCAAAGGCAAAGGAATGAATGTGATAGCAACAAATTGGAGTGTCACGCGAAGGATGGCAAGCAGATCGAAACGTGCCCCACGTTGCTGACGCACAGGTATATAGACAGATTTAGTTGCGCGTTCACAGCAGCCATACGGACGTGGCTTGCCATCGCGAATGGCTAGCAGGCTGCACCCGTACAGCTGCTGCGCACGCGTGACTAAATATATCTAATGACGCAACAAACGTACTCTAAGATAAACGTGAATAAGTGTCTCAGTTGTTACTTCACAGTGTCTGAAAAGCGCACCCTTTTCGCGAACGGAGACTGCGCAGCGAGTGCAGTGACCTTTGTGCGCCCGGTTATTACAACAAAATCGTTCCGGTGAAACCCCAAGGCGTATGGTTCTCCCTACAGCGAGATAAGTGAGCGTATGCGTGAGCGTCCCCCCCCCCCCCCATTCTCTCCACGCGCCAAAGTACGCGTGGGAGATAAGAGCACGCGCCAACTCGTCGTGACGATAACCTGGTCGTCGAGAACGGGAGCGCTTTATAGACGGTTTCAGGATTGCAAGCGTTGTGTCCACAAAAAAACTTCCGGTCTCCTTATTTCACAGCTGATAACGTCGAAACTGAAAGGACGTTTTCACGTTTTTTCAAGGGTAAGGAAAAACCCTTATTACTTTTTCAGATAAAAAGAACGTGCGTAATGTTCAAGGCAGTTTCTTGTAGTTTTTATGTAGCTCAAAATACCATTTATTTGAATACATTTTGCCAAATGACGGAAAGAAAGGGCAGAAAATCAGCGGGCTATTTTCTAACGCTCTTCTTGCCCAAATCTGCTATTCAGGGACATAGGGGGACGAAACCGAAAGTCATCAAGGGTGTTTAGCCTCGGCAGCACTTGGTGAGCAGCATGTTTTTGCACCTTCATTGGGAAAAAGCAGGGCGCCTGGTGCCGGCAACCATTAAAACACTCTGCTGGTTCTCCGTGACCGCAATCACGCTGCGGTCGACCTTGCTCAACCGCTACGCACAAGTATTCCGTCAGGTTTTATGGTGAGTTGGTTTCGTGTCCTATCGTTGACATGTCTACGAAGAAGCCACAATTGAGTGAGCTAAGCAGCTACTGTACCATTTCTTGATTCGTCTGGATGATCCACCTACAATCACGCTTGTGAGTGTACTGGTCGCCATTTTCAGGGTAGCGAAGAGTTCCGTTGATGCCGTATATAGTGTCATCACAGCCTGCGTACAGACATTGAAGTGCCAAGGTGTGAGTAGTGATGTCTTATAGATGCACTACTACGATGCAATACTACGTCAAAGTATTGCTAAATTGCCCATAAAGTTCTGTTCTTTTGAAGGCAACAAAACAGAACTCAAGTAACTGCTTAGCCGAACATTGTTACGCTTACAAGAAAGCATTTCTTCGGAACACAACTGATAACAGCAGACGGGAAGAAATTTTTAATAAAAGCAACGTGTGTCGAGATCAACACTTGATAAGTTACGTGTTAACTCGAAAAATTGTAGGAAATATTTACAGAAGGCCTTGCGAAGTTTCACCAGTTTCTTTTTAATCTGCCTTTTATTAACTGTTTGTTCATACATTCGCCAAGCTCGTAGTTTTACGTCAAACAAGACCATGCAATGTACCAGAAAGTATACGCATACGTAGAGTTAGCAATTACAACTGTCACAACAAAACCTAGACAGGTCTTTAAATTGTTACGTGCGTGTCAAGACTTATGAAATTGTTGATGTAGCGAGACATTATCATAGCGGCGTCTGCGGAATAAGCAGGAGAAGACAAACTCGTTTTGATGGGATGTGGCGTGCTCTTAGTCAATGCACTCTATATGCACATATATACACGAGTACTCAATGGTGACTGCGCCATCCCCAGGTAGATTATGAATGTGTCCAAAAGATGTGGAACAAGAAAATAACACAATTTGCTCACCTGTTACTTCGCATGTGGCACTGTTGTGACATTTTGAGAATAATATAAACATAACAAGTCGCTAATTCGCAGCAAGAGCACAGTAAAAATTGCAATGTTGTACGAGTAAGGCTATCGATTCACTCTTTGGGCATCTGATCAGGCGCCACACATAAAAACTGTGGCATAAGGCAATTTGACCACTGCAGCCACTGAAGCGACCTTCGTTTTGCCTAACGTTCCAGGACAAACTGGGTGCCGAGAACACAGCGCACTCAAATGCATCAAACCTTTACTGATGACTATTGCTTCTGTGCCGGTTCTGTGACATTGCGTAGTTCCTGGTCAAAATTTACATGACCCATCTCTACAGTATCCTTTATACACAATATCATGGGTTTGGGACTTTATTTTTTAATATAAATACGCAGTTTTCTTAGCCCCAATTGTTGGCTAGCCTCACGCGTTTTCACTCGCACATATAGCACATCAATCGCGCGTCTATGTTATGAATTTAGATGTTATGCGGGACATCACACCAAAGATGACGGCAAAAATGCGCTTGGAGAGTTCACATATAACTACCATTTCAATAAAACATGAAGCGGCATCTGCATAAATAGTGGCTCCTTGGCCATTGTTCCACCCACTCACTTTGCCTCGGGTCGTCGCAAGTGGGCCCGGTCCAGTCCGGAGTGCAGCTGCACACGAAACCACCCGCAGGACCACCGCTGCATGTGCCATTGTTAAGGCACGGGGAGCTGGAACACGCGTCGCTTGTGCTGTCGCACAGCCGACCAGAGTAGCCAGTCTCGCAGACGCACACGAAGTCGTTGCCCCGGACCTGTAGGACAGGGTGCGTTGTCGCTTAGCGATTGTGATATAGCATGATCTTGGTGATTTAGCACTCCTCTACAAAATTACGAATAAATACTGCTCCAAGTTCGTGCGGGCGTTTATGTGCAGTGGTGTGCTTGTGTCTATGCATGTTCGCTGAGTAGGAGACCTCACAAGCCGACTAGTGAGCAAGTAAATTACTTGCTAATGACATTGTGAAACGATGAAAACGTTGGCCACCTAAGAGCCAGCTATATGTTCATCATACGTAAACTCTAGGGGATAGTATGCCACGTAGAAGAAGAAGAAAAGGGACCCTTAGCTAAAGGAACTAAAATAATGAGACACTAGTATCAAAGATATAGAGTAAACGTGAAGTACGACATAGCTTGTAATAAAGTGCATAGGTTTTATTCCTTTTTCAAACATGACCATTGTACTGCCTAAGGAGAAGCGGAATAATCGTACAAGGAATTGACTGGGAAATAAAATTCCCCAGAAAGGTTTTTACTGCTGTACAAGCTAGTATTTGTTAGCTGCCTATATTATTCTGCATTTATCGAGCAATGCGTCGTGCTAAAATTTTTACACTCTTGCTGACCAGTAACACAAAACAAAACTTCAGTTGTGCGTGTGGTAATGTTATCAGTTGTTTATCTCTGCGAGCTTATTCAGCTGGTCTAGTTAAGGCGAGAAATAACAAAATTGTTTAGGTACATGTTTGATTGATTGATTGATTTATATGTGGGGTTTAACGTAACAAAACCACTATATGATTACGAGAGACGTTGTAGTGGACGGCTGCGGAAATTTAGACTACCTGGTGTTCTTCAACGTGCACCCAAATCTGAGCGCATGGGCCTACAACATTTCCGCCTCCGTCGGAAATGCAGCCGCCGCAGCCGGGATTCTATCCAACTGTGGGTCAGCAGCCGAGTACCTTAGCCACTAGACCACCATGGCGGGACCTTAGGTACATCATCATCATCATCATCATCCTCAGCCTGACTACGTCCACTGCAGGACAAAGGCCTCTCCCATGTTCCGTTAGTTAACCCGGTCCCGTGCCTGCTGCTGCCAATTTATACCCGCAAACTTCTTAATCTCATCTGCCCACCTAACCTTCTGTCTCCCCCTAACCCGCTTGCCTTCTCTGGGAATCCAGTCAGTTACCCTTAACGACCAGCGGTTATCCTGTCTACGCGCTATATGCCCGGCCCATGTCCATTTCTTCTTCTTGATTTCAGCTATGATATCCTTAACCCCCGTTTGTTCCCTAATTCACTCTGCTCTCTTCTTGTCTCTTAAGGTTACACCTACCATTTTTTTTCCATTGCTCGCTGCGTCGTCCTCAATTTAAGCTGAACCTTCTTTGTAAGTCTCCAGGTTTCTGCTCCGTAGCTAAGTACCGGCAAGATACAGCTGTTATATACCTTCCTCTTGAGGGATAGTGGCAATCTACCTGTCAATATTTGAGTGTGCTTGGCAAATGTGCTCCACCCAATTCTTATTTTTCTAGTCACTTCAATCTCGTGGTTCGGCTACGCAGCTATTACCTGCCCTAAGTAGACATAGTCTTTTACAACTTGAAGAGCACTATTACCTATCTCGAAGCGCTGCTCTTTTCCGAGGTTGTTGTACATTACTTTCGTTTCTGCAGATTCATTTTAAGACCCACCTTTCTGCTCTCCTTGTCTAACTCCGTAATCATGAGTTGCAATTCGTCCCCTGAGTTACTCAGCAATGCAATGTCATCGGCGAAGCGCAGGTTACTAAGGTACTCTCCATTAACTCTTATCCCTAACTGTTCCCATTCTAGGCTTCTGAAAACCTCCTGTAAGCACGCGGTAAATAGCATTGGGGAGATTGTGTCCCCCTGCCTTACACCCTTCTTGATTGGTATTCTGTTGCTTTTTTTTAGAAGCACTATGGTAGCAGTTGATTCCCTGTAGATTTCTTCCAGGATGTTTATATATGCTTTATCGACGCCCTTATTCCGCAGTGTCTGCATGACGGCTGATATTTCTACTGAATCAAACGCCTTCTCGTAATCTATGAAGGCTATGTATAGTGTTTGGTTATACTCTGAGCATTTCTCTATAACCTGATTGATAGTATGAATGTGGTCGATTGTTGAGTAGCCTGTTCGAATCCTGCTTGTTCCTTTGGTTGATTGAATTCTAATGTTTCTTTACTCTGTTAGCAATTACCTTTGTAAATTGCTTGCATACTACAGAGAGCAAGCTAATCGGCCTGTAATTCTTCAAGTCCTTGTCATCTCCTTTCTTATGTATTAAGATGATGTTAGCGTTCTTCCAAGACTCTGGTACTTTTCCCGTCAGGAGACACTTCGTAAACAGAGTGGCTAGTTTTTCTAACACAATCTGTCCTCCATCTTTCAGCAGATCTGATGTTACCTGATCCTCACCAGCAGCTTTGCCTCTTTGCATGCTCTCCAAAGCTTTTCTGACTTCTTCTATCATTACTGGTGGGGTGTCATCTGGGTTACTGCTAGTTCTTATAGTATTAAGGTCGTGGTTGTCTCGGCTACTGTACAGATCTCTGTAAAACTCCTCCGCTATTTTAACTATCCTATCCATATTGGTAGTTATTTTGCCTTCTTTGTCCTTTAGTGCATACATCCGATTTTCGCCTATCCCAAGTTTCCTCTTCCCTGCTTTGACACTTCCTCCGTTTTTCAGAGCGTGTTCAATTCTCTCCATGTTATACCTTCTTACATCGGATACCTTACGCCTGTTAATCAACTTCGAAAGCTCTGCCAGTTCTATTTTGTCTGTTGTACTTGAGACATACGTAGTGGTTAGAGCATCCGCCTCGCATGCAAAAGGTCCGTGGTTCAAATCCCGGTGCCGCGCAGTTCCCAACCAGACTAAAAAAAAAGATCCGCGTGGTGATGGAACTGCATTACGAGGCCTGGGGTGCGGCCTCACCGGTAACCACCGCCGGGAACGCACTCCCTCACCAGAGAAGGATTGGCCACCCTGGTGCAGTATCTGGCCACTACCTCCCACATGCTTACGTCAAATAACTCACGGCCCTCAGTCCCCAGCAGCTGCGAAGCAACTGACCGTGGCGGCGGTCAGATCTGCAACGCAGCAGAGGGTGCTAAGAATCTCTGGATCCCGACAGGCCGCCATTGGAACCTAAACTTGGCAACGTTTAACGCTAGAACCATATATAGTGAGGGAAGTGTAGCTGTACTATTCGAGCAGCTAGAGGGTGTTAAATGGGATATGATAGGGCTTAGTGAGGTTAGGAGGACAGATGAGGCCTATACGGTGCTACAGAATGGGCATGTCCTTTGCTATCGGGGCTTGGCTGACAGAAGAGAACTGGGAGTGGGCTTCCTAATTCACAGAAGCATAGCTGGCAACATAGAGGAATACTATAGAATTAATGAAAGGGTGGTAGGTATCGTAATTAAACTGAATTAGAGATACAAGATGAAGGTGGTACAGGCTTACGCGCCTACATCCAACCATGATGATGCTTCAGTTGAAAGCTTCTATGAAGACGTGGATTCGGCAATGAGTAAGGTAAAAGCACAGTACACAATACTGATGGGAGACTTTAATGCAAAGGTAGGGAAGAAGCAGGCTGGAGACCAGGCAGTAAGAGATTATGGCATCGGTACTAGAAACGCCAGAGGAGAGCTACTAGTAGAATTCGCAGAACCCAATAATTTACGCATACTTGAGACATATTTTGTCTGTTGTACTTAAGTACATAAGAAGCAAGTAATGTGGCAGCGTGAACGGCACCGCAATGAAGGTTTTCAATTGCGAAACCTAATTATTAATTAATCAGTGGCTGGCCGTCTAAATGTTTCGACTATCTCTCACCAAGCCTTGAGACAGTCAGTAGAAAAGTCCATCAAACTCAGTGTGTAATATTTTTCTTGTGAGCAACTCAAAAGTTTAACCGCGATGCTCTTTAGGCTAGCCCTAAATAGGGCCACCTATCGGCTACGTGCCTCTGTCTGGCCTAAGCAAAAAAAAAACTACCATTCGAAACCTCTTTGTGCCACAGGAATAGAGTTAATTCCATTAGTCCCCCTGGTACACTTATATGAAGGAGGCAAAAGTTAGTCCAACAAATGAGCATGTCCCACGGAAAGTTGTGCAGCCTATCAAAAAACTATCCCTATCATAACCGAGCTCTGGCTTCAAAAGTCAGGGACATCTGCATACATACAACTTCAACTACAAAAATGAAGTGGGCAACACTTCACCAAAATACGTTTTCAAAATTAAAATTTTGTTTAAATTGACCTCCGGTTTCATGGCCGATGCCCTGCAGTTGGTAGGAGGCATAAATCAAGGAACAAGGAAGCAAAGTATCAAGCAAGCAAGTGAACAAGCAAGCAAGCAAGCAAGCGAGCGAGCAAGCAAGCAAGCAAGCAAGCAAGCGAGCAAGTGGCTCCGAGGTACGGTGAGGAGCCTAATACTGCGAGTACATCCAACGAGAGAATAATAGCGAATAGAAAAGGCTACGTTGGCTTCGAGATGACCCCGCAGCGTTGGAAGGCTGACGCCGACAATGATGTGCGCGTGCCTGTGGTGTAATCGAACCTGTCTGCGCTGAGACTCAACGCAGAATCAACCTAGCTATGGTGGTGAGGACTAGACTCCAAGTGTGGACAACGTAAGAATAGTAGGGATTGGGAAAGGCCATGGCAGCTGCGAGAATAGCCCGAAGCCAAAGAAAGCTTATGCCAGCGATGAAATACCCAGCTGTTGTCTGTGACTGTCTGCGGTGTAACTAGAATATTGGTAACTCTCTGCGCTGACAAAGAACGTAGAAACTGCTAGGATAATCTGTAGATAGCCTAAAAATTACCAAAGACAGAAACCTAGAACTAGACAAAAAGAGATTAGCCTTGACGATCATCCAGTTTCACTGTTTGAAGGCTTGCGTATCTTTGTGCAAGCTTCGCCCATATCTTTCTGCCATTGTTTTCATTACACTTTAACAATAATGATGAAG